TTGTTTATGCCTGACGCCCGATTTGGCGAGAAGGACCCGGGCTGCCTTAACCTGACATTCTCCCCCTCCCTCCAAGATGGCCCGAGGTCTCCTGGGTTGTTTACTCTGTTTGTAACTCGGTGCGACCTGTTGGTGGCCGAGGTCGCCCGGGAGACCGAGATGTGGGCCGAGGGGGCGGCGAGGCTCTGAGCTGCCTTTCCTGCTTCCAGGTCTGGGCCGCCAAGCAGCCATGCCGACCTGGGGGGCCGGCTCCCCGTCCCCGGACCGCTTTGCCGTGTCTGCGGAGGCGGAGGACAAAGTGTGGGAGCAGCAACCCCACGTGGAGCGCATCTTCCGCGTGAGGATGAGCGTCCTCCGGAAGGACTGCCCCGAGAACCCTCACATCTGGCTGCAGCTGGAGGGCCCCAAGGAGAACGTCAGCAGAGCCAAGGTGAACGCTCCGCCCTGACCCCTTCGGGGAGCAGTCGCTCCCTCCCCCACGCAGAGGCTGGGGAGAGGAGAGGCCGGGAATGGTCTTCACTACTGCTCGTCTCTCTGGCAACCTCAGTGGCCCTGAGCTGTGGGAGACTCCCCAACTTTGTATTTGTTTGGAGTTTTGATTTCGTTTCTGATATGATGACCTAACTTCTGCCAGGGCTTGGAGACAAGTGATTCAATTCAGATCAGTGTGTGTAACAGTAGAGAAAATCCGGTTGGGCGAGCAGGCCCCACCAAGGAATTCACTGCAGGAGGCCAGGCCTGGGTTCCAGTACAGCTCTACTGCCTACCAGCCCCCTGACCTGAGTTTCAGTTTCTATATCTATAAAATGTGAATAATGGCAGTACCCAGTTCATTGGGCTTAGCATGAATGAAATAAAGCATGAGTTTAGTAAAGTTAGCAGTGTCGATCGTTATGATAGAAATAGACAACACACATACACACATAAATAGAGAGACAGTCTTGTAATCAATTAGTTATAATTGTATCTTAAAGCCAGTCAAGTTCTAAATGGAAATACTAGCTATAGCTGTCAGCTGGAAAGGAAAGGAAGTGAGATTCTTGACCCCTTTTTAGCCCCTACCTTTGTCAGGATCTATGGGGCATCATTGCTCTGCCCAGGCATCCTGGAGCTCAGGGGAGAGCAGTGAGCCTGAAGTGGCTACTGGGCCACTTAGGATTCCAGCAGTCTCCTTTCCCCCTCCTTTCCCCCTTTCCCCAGGAGTACCTGAAGGGTCTCTGTAGCCCAGAGCTGCAGGATGAAATCCACTATCCACCCAAACTGCACTGCATCTTCCTGGGGGCCCAGGGCTTCTTCCTCGATTGCCTGGTCTGGAGCACATCAGCCCACCTGGTGCCTGGGGTGCCTGGATCACTGATGGTCAGTGGCCTCACGGAGGCCTTCGTCATGGCTCAGAGCCGAGTGGAGGAGCTGGTGGAGCGGCTGAGCTGGGACTTTCGGCCAGGGCTGCCTCCTGGAGCCTCTCAGTGTGCTGGAGTGCTGAGGGACTTCGGTGCCCTGCTGCAGCCCCAGGGGGATGCCCACAGAGAGGCCCTGCTGCAGCTGCCCCTGGCTGTCCAGGAGGAACTGCTGAGCCTGGTACAGGAGGCATCCAGGGGACAAGGGCCCCAAGCGCATTTCTCCTGGGAGGTGGGGAGCCCAGGCCTGCTGGGTGATCAGCATCAAGGAGTCAGAGCTCCCCTGAATGAAGGCAGGGGGTCCCTGGACACTGGACCTACAGGGTGGCCAGAGTCAAGGGGAGAGAGACATGCTGCAGAGAAGGAGGGAGGGAAGCAGGGTGGCCCCAGGGAGATGGATTTGGGATTGAAGGAGCGGCCTGGGGAAGAGGCCTGGGAGAAAGAAATGGCCTACAGGTCACAGTTAGGGGGAGGAGAGGTAGGGCAGGAAGGGTTCCTGAAGAAGAAGGCCCCGGGGAAGGAGGGGGGGCCTCAGGAAAGAGGAGGAAGGTTTTGTATCCAGGGTGAGCCTCCTGGTGCCCACGGCTGTCAGAGGGCAGCTCAGCTCCGGGGA